AACATACTCAGTGTCTGATCGCTGGAACTGAAAATACAGAAACAAAATTACATCGATAGATTAAAAGGGATTATCATAAAATCACTGAGAGAGATGATCAACATAATCAAAATAAAAGAACAAGCAATATATAACCATTGAAATGAGGCTATCAAGCAACATCATACTAATACAAATTAACGAAAGAAAAAGAACAACAAACCCCTTGGAAGAAGTATGTTGTTGTGCAATAAACACAACAATAAGAAAATCACATAACCTACTAAAAATGTCCCTTGATATTTCCAAATTGTTGGGAGGGATCACACACTCATATTAGATGGGAAACATGAAGGTACAAGTAATGTTTAGTCGTGCTAGGCAAAGCACAAGAAAACAACACACCTGTTGCCAAATTTGAGGGCAAGTTAGTCAATGCATCTTGTTGTAAACCTAACTTTATATAATATGTAGAGGATCAGTTTAAGCTTATCTTTCATTATTAGTTAGAAGCGTACCTTAAAAGGGAGAGACAAGAAGTCGAATACCATTTCTAGGGTTCAATTTCTTCTAATCTTGTCATTATTCTTAATGCATTCTTGAAGATCATTGAATATTTCTAAATATACCATATAGAGATGACAACTGAAGCCGCAATTACGTTGAATTTATAAAGAATGCTAGGTTAAACTCATCCCACTTTCACCCCATGTGATTCTTTTTACCGGTTTTTGTTTGTTTCTTTTGATTTCAAGTTGTAAAATATGAATATTTCATTAGGAACAATATGTATTCAACATTATTGGCTTTAAATGTTGATTTTTTTATATAATTAAATGTATTTGAATGTTCATAACTATTATTATTGACTGTCAACATGAGGATACTCCATTGATATGCCTCAATCGTGTAATAGTGTTGGTGGGGTGAGGGGACTAGTTTGGAAAGATAGATCATGCCAAACTTTGAATTGATTTTCATGATTATGGTTATATACAATACAGTTTGACTTGAGCAAATACATGAAATCAGTGAATTGTGAAGCATTTGGGTTGGTAACAAAAAAGACAATATTGGGTTTTTAAATAAAAATTTCCACCTCAAGCAATTCATTGGTATACTAAGAAGTTTTGATTTTTATCTGCTTCTAAATATTCAATATAATTTCAAAATCTATATTTTATTGAAGTAATGTTATCAAGTGCCAAATAATTCCTTAGCTCTTAGGTAGTTTTTGAGTTTAATTGGTAACCGAGGAGGATATTGTGATACACATACAACTCATGATACACATAACTCAAATGAATAATTGAACCATTGCTTTCTTGAGAAAATCTACACCTAAAACTTATTGTTTTACTGGTTTAAATTATGTTCAATAAATGAAATATATTTCAATCCGGTCTTAATTTGGGAACCCATTTTTCAAAAGTCTTATATAATTGTCTATAATTTGAGAAAATGTCATATAATACTTAATTGAAATTTAACATATTTTTTAAAATACATTTTTAAATAAACATTTTGAAGCCATAAATCTTTAATTTAACATTTTAAATTGCAGATTTTTATTTATGATTTTCAAAAATATGTTTCATGAATCAAATAAAAACATAGCTTAATAATTTACATACAATATAATAATATTGTAATTAAATATTTAAAATATCACGATAAAAAAAAACTTATTATAATTTAAAATCCAAAATTACAATGTAAAAGTGGATAAATATAAAAAAGAATTTAAAAAATGAGAAATTGCTAGTTGGTACGCAAACCCATACCCGTATTGTGCACCTCTCGTTATAATCAACGGATGAAGATGGAATAGTAAATAAAAATCGACGGCTATGAATGGAGTGGAGGTATTGAATTGCAAAAAGTAGGTGTAGGGTTATATAGATAGTTTGCCCTATTGCACCCCCCTAAGCTTCAATAGATGCGCCTCTCTTCCTCCCTCTTCCTCTAACCCTTTTCTCTCTCTATCCCCCCTTCTTTCTCTCCTCGTCTTCTCAACCCCCTTAGCCCTACCTGCAATCTTCGAGGGCAGACCAGAAAATTCATACAAAAGTTTCGTATTTGAACCCTAATCTTTAAGAGGTATTTCCCTTTACTTCCCCCTTTCACTTTATTTCGATTTTCTTCATCTATAGCTTTTAAACAAAGGGTTAACTCCCAATTGGGATCTTTATCTGAATCCTCGTCAGTCTTTGAATCAATTTTAGCTAGATTTGTTTAATTTTGAAAAATTGGGACGATTTCGATTTGGGTTTTTGTTTTCTGGTTTAAAGATCTGTAGGGTTTGACTTATTGATTTGGTATCGTTGTTCTTATTTGACGTTATTGTCAGTCTCTAACTGTTTGATCAGGTTAATTCGTGAAAGTGACCCGAAAAAATTGATTTTTTAGTTAGTTCTGGGGTTTTACATGTTATGATTTCTTCGTGGACTTTCATCAAGTCTCGTAGGGGTTCGATTTTACTTGATTTGAATTGAATTTTTTTGGGTTATCTGTGGATCTTCTTTCAGTGAAAGGATATTCAGATTTGATTATAATCTGAATGATAATGTCTGTTTACACCCAGTAGATGCTTTCTTTCCGTAACTGTTGCTTATTGATGATTTTAGCTGCAGCTATTGTCGATTTCACTTTTGGTTGTACGATCTGAAACTTTCAGATCTTACTTGGGTTACTGTAGAATGGTTCAAGAATTACCATCCTTTAATGGAGGGAGGTGAAAATTGAATAGTAGCTTTAGTTTGATTTAGTCAAGGCTTTAGTTTATTCAGTTTGTTTATCTTTCTATTGCATGTAAACATGAGTAGTTAGTTGGGTTTTATTTATTTTGTTTGACCTCCTTATGATGTTATGAGACTAGTTATAGGGTTGAGTATGATTCTCATGGAATCAATTGGAGTTTTCTTTGAAATTATTGCCAAAAATATTGCATTTGAAGCATAAGATTCTTATGATTGCAAGGTTGATGTGTTTTATTCTATGTTAGTTTTGTTTCATTCGTCTATAACTTTTTAAAAAGAAACCCATAATCGAAATTGGGTTCTTTTTCGTGAATCATAACGAGTCATATAAAGTCAAATGTTGCTTGGTTAGTGTTTGATTATGGACAATCCAAACCATCTTGGAATCAATTGGAGTTTCCTTTGAAATTATTGCCAAAATCCTGCATTTAAATTATAACAGATCTTATGATTTCAAGGTTGATGTGTTCAATTCCGTAGTAATCTTGTTTGTTTGTCTATAATTTCTAGAAGAAACCCATCAGCGAAATTGGGTTCTTTTCTTGCATCATCCTGAGTCAAATAAAGTCAAGTCTAGCTCGATTACAGTTTGATTTTGCCATTGTGGACAATTGAGACCATCTTTAACAAGGGGTTTCGTTTTGCATAACAGATTTGTAGGGTTTGACTTCTTGATTTGATATTGACTTATCTTTGTTGTGTGATTCTCTTTTGGGTTGTTTGTGGTCAATATCATGAATCATCAATCATGTGTGTCATCTTTGCTGATTTATGAATGGTCAGCAGAAGATTTCCATATCTAATCACAGGATCCTCTAGATAATCAGAAGTCTTCTCAGGCTCAGAGCTGGAATCTTGTAAAGATTCAATTATGCTTGTTGATTTGGTTTCAAATCTAGTTTAATTGTGGGTTTTCTTTCAGTATCAAGATTTGATTTCTTTCGGGTACGGAGATGGCGATGGTAACTACAAAGAAGATGATAGCAATTTGCCAATATGGTGGCGATTTCGAAATGCATGATGATGGGTCAATGACTTATGTTGGCGGGGAGGCATATGCTGTTGATCTTGATGAAAATATGCAGTTGAGTGGTTTCAAACAAGAGATAGCGGAAACTATCGATTCAACTGTAGATGGGATGGTCATTAAGTACTTCTTGCCTGCTAACAAGAAGAATCTGATTACTGTATCGAAAGATAAAGACTTTCAGCGAATGGTGAATTACTACAAAGAAGCCGATCAGCTTGAGGTTTTTATTATGAAAGAAGCCCCCGCGGGTAAAAATGCCAAGAAAAAGCAGCCTGCTCGGAGGTAATTATATACACTTATTATGTATTTGATGTGCGGGGGAAAGTGCATCAAAATGCAATGAAGTTTGTCCTGTAGTTCCTATTTAGTGTTACAAAGAACTCGAACACTTTTTTGCACGATCAATGTAACAAAGTTTCAAAATTTCTTATTTTGGACTCACTCGGTCCCAAAATAATTGTCTTAGTTTATTTTGTTCACTTTAAGAAGGAAGTGTTTTTTCCAGTTCTACCCTTAATTACTCCTATTACTAAGGGTAAAATTATCATTTAGTTAAATAATAATTGTAGTGATTACACATCTCTGTAACTATGTGCCTTACATTTATTTTGGGACGGATGGAGTACCCATTGTGACCTGTAATTTGTTAAGCAATGATGTTGAAGCCAAGTTTGTGGTCCCCTTTGTGGTAACCATTTCGTAAACGGGTACCTATGCCATCTAATGTTACAGAATCAGTATGTTTCATGTAAAATGGGTACACTAAATAGTAAATCGACCAAACTTTGATGCATTTTCCCTACCTGTAATTCAGTCAGATAATCTCTCTGTGGCCTTGGAGCATCGCTTCTATGGCAGATATATTTTGATGGTTAATTATTGCGTAATTTTTGTGTAGACCACAGAAGGCGCCACCAAAGGCTGACACAACGGCAGTTGTCCCCGCTGCTGCTGCTCTTGCCGCCGCCCCTACTGCTACTCCAAATAATGCAGTCGTTCTCAACGAATCTGTTGACATCGAGACGACAAACGAAATCACTCCAGGGGCTATTCCAATTTCCAGCAATCCATTCCCTATGGCTGTCATTGATAACGATCAGCGCATAGCTGCAAAACAGTGGGAAAATCTTATAACGGGCGTTGGCCAACGATTCCATTCACTGGCCGAATTCCGAGAGACCCTAAGAAAGTACTCGATTGCACACGCATTCAATTTTGTGTACAAAAAGAACGAGAATCAACGTGTAACCGTGAAATGCAAGGCCGAAGGTTGTCCATGGCGGATCCATGCATCGAAGCTATCCACCACCCAATTGGTGTGTATCAAGACGATGAGGCCCGTTCATAATTGCCAAGGAGTTACCTCAAAAGCTCCATTTCGAGCTAAAAGAAGCTGGGTCGGGAATCTCATCAAAGAAAAGGTGAAGGAATCGCCAAAAATTAAGCCGAAAGATATTGCTACCGAGCTTAAACGGGATTACGGGATCGATTTGAACTATTCACAAGCAAGGCGGGCTAAGGAGTATGCAAGAGAACAGCTTCTGGGATCGTATAAAGATGCATACAGCGAGCTCCCATTTTTTTGTGAGAAGATAATGGAAACAAATCCTGGTAGTCTTGCTACGTTTAGCACGAAGGAGGATTCGAGTTTTCATCGCCTCTTTGTTTCGTTCCATGCCTCAATTTCTGGCTTCCTACAAGGCTGCCGCCCGCTGCTTTTTCTTGACAGCACGCCGTTGAACTCACGGTACCAAGGGATGTTGTTGACGGCCACGGCGGCTGATGGTGACGATGGCGCTTTTCCGGTGGCGTTTGCGGTGGTTGACGAAGAGACTGACGATAACTGGCATTGGTTTTTAACGGAACTCAAGCTTGTGGTGTCGACTCCTGGTCAAATCACGTTCGTTGCTGATTTTCAGAAGGGTTTGCGGGAGTCGTTACGGGAGATATTTGGCGGCGAGTGTTATCATGCCTATTGTCTGGGTTATTTAGCCGAGAAACTTAACAAAGATTTGAAAGGCCATTTCTCACATGATGCTAGGCGGCTCATGGTAGAAGATCTTTATGCGGCTGCACACGCACCTAAACTCGAGGCTTTTGAGAAGTGCACCGAAGACATTAAAGCCATCTCTCCAGAGGCCTACAATTGGGTTATTCGTAGCGAGCCCGAGCACTGGGCAAACACGTTCTTCGGTGGGCTGAGGTACAACCATATGACATCGAATTTCGGACATCTTTTCTATGCGTGGGTATCGGAGGCAAACGAGTTGCCGATAACTCAAATGATCGATGAATTAAGGGGTAAGATGATGCAGCTCATTTACACTCGCCGAGTTGAATCGAGCCAGTGGATAACTCGGTTAACGCCTTCCATGGAAGAAAAACTAAAGAACGAGATCATAAAAGCGCGTTCTGTCCAAGTATTACGGTCCCATGGAAGCAAATTTGAGGTTCGATATGGTGAAACAGTCGATATAGTTGATATCGAGAATTGGGATTGTAGCTGTAAAGGGTGGCTGCTTACCGGTTTGCCGTGTTGCCATGCGATTGCGGTTTTGGAATCATACGGTCGGAGCCCGTACGACCATTGCTCCAGATACTTCCATGTCGAGACCTACCAATTGACGTATGCCGACTCGATTCACCCGATACCAAATGTCGAACGGGGTGTGGATAGCGATGCTGAAGATGGTACGATTCTTGTTACTCCTCCGCCCACTATGCGGACCCCGGGAAGGACCAAGATACGGAAGGTTGCACCGGGTCGGATCGGACCCTCCGACTTCCTTAAACGCCAACTCCAGTGTGGGAAGTGTAAAGGGCTCGGCCACAATAAGAGATCATGCAAGTACGTATTTTCTTTCTTATTAGTTATTGAAATACCTAGTTTGTTTGGTAAGTGATGAGCTAACTTTTTAAAATTTCAGATGGCATTTTCAATGAACTGGTTTTTTTCACCAATTTCTAATTATGGCCCTTATATTTTACGTAAATGACCAAAAAAATCATGTTTTAGTTTATTTTATCAACTACTTTTTTACCATACATCCCTAACTTATTAGCTGACAGCTAGTTTTTCAGCTAACAACTAACTTTGTTGTTTATCGACATTTAATATCTGTTTCATTTTTTTGTTTTTTCAGGGAGATTGAGGATTAGTATGTTGTAATTTGTCGAAGGTAATAAAGCGGATGCAGACATCAGCCATGGTTCATTTGAAGACGGGTTCCGTTTTCGTTGCAAGTTCTTATCTTGTTTATCGATCGGTTAGGATTCTGTCTAATGTAAATTCTAATAGAAATTTCATTAGCAGGGCTTTGCTCTTGGTAAAGATTTTAGTAGAAATTAGTTTAGTCTGCTTCATGTTTGTGACTTATGTTGGTAGGGAAGCTTTAGTTTTCAAAGTCATCTTATGCACAGTTTAAGTAGTTGACTTTTTTTATTTGACTCATCTTGCTCCATAGTCTCCAACCGCATTTTTTTAACCGTGGGTATCTGGATCAACTTGTCTGTAACTTTTTAACCGTGGAGTATGTATCTTGACTTATCTTAATGGTATATATGACCATGTTAAGATTTTGTGTGGGTAGCTTGGTATATATAATCTTGCATGATGTTTGGATCTCATACGAATAGATTTGTGGAGGTTTTGTGTTCTCAAGTTCTTTCACTATTATAGTACGAATAGTATCGCTAATACGAAATTTGAATCATATCATATGATGGATCATATGTTAGTATGTAAAGGAACATATTTGCTTCTACTTTCATTGTAAGCTGAAGAGTAAATTACAGTTCTCATCCTTGTGGTTATATAAAAGTTACAGATTGGGTCACTCGCATTTTTATGGATTGGTAGCCGTGGTTTCATTTCCGTTATTGATTTGATCTTTAGCAGCAACTTCTGTTAAAACGCTCCTGTAAGTTTGGACATTTTGGTCTTTTCTTATGATTTTCTTCTCCAACCATTGTCCTATCCACATTCTAAGCACACTCGTACATACAATATCAACTCAAATCCAAACCCTAATCTCCAAAACTCAAAATAAAAAGCCCAAACCTATCAAATCAAAAGCAAACTTAAAGTCAACCATCAAAACCGTGGAATCTAAATAAAAAAACACAAATCAAAATCAAACAAGAAAAAGAATTCCACATTAAGCCATTGAATAAGGGTGACGGAAAAGATTTTTCAATGGAGGGCCACATAATCCACGAATTCTGATGAAAGCCGTTGGTCCTCGGTTAATCAGAGTACCATTTTGTGGAATGTGATCCCTTAGGTTATTCTAAGTGAAATCAATATAAACCTTTCCGGGAACATTCCTGTGACGCCCCAATCTTCACACATTGTATATTACATAGAATTCATTCATAAAATACATAGATTCCTACATAGGTCCAAAATTACAAGAGTCTGTGCTACAGGTTTACGATACAAATTGCATAACTTAAAAATTTCAAAATACATGCATTTGTAAACTAGCATTGCTCTCCTCCAAAACACATCTAGATATGGTCTTCAACATTTAATCACATAAGGGAAGTAATCATATAATGCTTTTTCCCTTATTGATATTATAACTGGTATTACCTGCATACATATTTTAAAACATAAAATGAGGGTTAGACAAAAGTCTAGTGAGATTCCCTTTTTCATGCTATGCAGGGTGAGATCACCAAAAACATTTATCAAAGAATCTCTCAATCATAATGAAAAATAATAAAAGAATCGCGTCATGTTTAAGTTTATCGGGCCTCTTGTTCAAAATCCCATACTCAGAAAAATAATGGTTTTCCAGTCCATCAGCCTCTGGTTCCAAAGTGTCCATCGGGCCTCTGGTTCCAAACCATACTTAGAATATTTTTCAATAAGCATGACCAGAGCTCCTCTGGTCTTTCTACCAGAGTTTCTGGTTAGTCGACCAGAGCTTCTAGTTCCTCAACCACAGATTCTGGTTGTACTTATGAAAGCCAACCAGAGCCCCTCTGGTTTGTTTTATAGAAATTTTTAAGTATAGAGACTCTTTTGAAATATCATTTTAAGACTATAAATAAAGCATTAAGCTTATTTAAAAAAAATATAAAACTTATTTTCAAACTAATAATTTATAAAAGATTTTGCATCTTTTTTAAATCAACATCCAGAATTCTCTGGTTCTATTATAAGGGTTAATCAGAGCCCCTCTGGTTCCTTGCAAGGTACAACCAGAGCTCATCTGTTTCCTCGTAATCAATGCTTTTATCCAAAGCATATTACTCACAACCATTGGTCATGAACCATATTATCTCCAATCCCATAACATCATTACCATCATTTCTACTAAAGACAACATCTCTAAATACTCAAATCACCAAGAAATAAGAACTTAAATATGTTGTAACTTTAATAGATATCATAATAAGAGTTAGGCCATGCAGATAACGACCAACCTTATATCCTCCCAATAATCCCCTTTTTTTATGATGTTCCACCCTTATATCCTCTCATTAATTCATATGAAGTTTTTCATCCAAAGACATACCTCAGTCATATATGTCAGAGTGAACCTGTTCATAATTCCCAAACCAAATCATGGTTTCAACATAGGTTTATACTCAAAAACCTTTTATTCTCAAGAACAACCTGATCTCCCAAAATAGTTTAAAACTCTGTTTTTATGTAAAACTCTTTCATACTGTTTTAAAACCCAAATACTGTTTAATTCTTTCCAAAACAGTTCCAAAAATAGATTCAAACAACAACTTCTCAAAGGCTGTTGAAGAACACAACTCTGTTTCATATTTATCCATAAACAGATTCCAAAATAGTAAAATCATAAAAACTGTTGAAGACAATTTATCATCTTAACCTTAAAACCAATATCAAAACTCAACAGTTGATACACAAATATATGAGAAATTTAGTTTCAAAACCACTCATCTTATCAAACAGATTTCTTGATGATAATCACACAGCAAAAGCTTTACTCTAACACATAATCTTCAAGTACTTTTGAAGCAATAATTCTTGAAGAACACCTTATCTGGCACACACAGGTTCTTTTCTAACAAAATGACAGTGATAAGGATAACCTTATCCAAATTTTTTTCTTTAAATATCCTGACCTAGGTGGTGGAGGATTTCAATAATATAAAATTGGATATGACGGTGTGTGTTAGCTCTCATTTCACTTAATGTAAAAGTATGGAAAAAGTAAATTCTGCAAGTGTTGACAGAAGAGGTTCCACCACAGAAGACCACAGAGGACCAACAACAGAAGGTGTTCTATCGTACAAGTGAAGTGTGACAGAACCTCTGTTGTCTACCACAGAGGTTCTGGAAACTGGTCCTCTGTATTCAAAGCTTACAAGTCAAAGATGACAGAACCTCTGTTGTCTATCACAGAGGTTCTGGAAGATGATCCTCTGGATTCAAGTACTCTCAAGTCACATCCAGCAGAGCCTCTGGGATGGCTCACAGAGGGTCTGCAGCTTTATCTTCTGTGAAGAACTTCTTTACTGTTTTACTTAGGTTAGTTAGCTGCTCGTTCTTATCACGTGACTGTTTGTAATCTGCTTTATTTGAATGGCTTAGATTAATTTGTACGTCTAGGTCTTGTCAGAAAAGCCGTTAGGAACGAGTATAAATAGCAGCTTAGGCCTTTGTAATTCAGTGTGCTTCCATATCGTATTGTAAACATTTTCAATCAATTGAAAATCATTTGAAGCTTCTCTCTAGTGTTCTTCATTCTTCAACTGTGTTCTTCATTGATCTTTACTCTACTTGTTCTTATTGCTTCTACTGCACTAATACTGTCAAATAGATCATCCAGAGTAAGTGATTAATATCCAAAACTGAGTTAATCGATCCTATCAATTGGTATCARANYAKGAATCAAATTCTAATTTGATTTATTCTGTTCTTGGTATTAATCTTCATTCGCTTAAGAACAACAGTCGTCTTCTTCAGGTTACCCTGTTTTTTCACTATTTCATCTGTTCTCTTCTTATTCCTATTTCTCTTCTTCTACCAATGGCGAATCTAGCCAATACTTCCTTTATGAGCACTGGTTCACAATCGAAACCTCCCACGCTCATAC